TTTGCAAAATGGGTGTCGATGTTTTTCCTCTCTTAAACAGGTACATGGCCTTTGCTGATGTCACCTTTCATGAATAAAACCCGTTCTTTGTTGTCTCATCGCAACCTAAATTTTCATAAAATTTTGATGAGTTTTTAATGTATCACATCATCAGTTTAGCTCCACTTTCACCACCAATGCCTCACCCTAGACTACTTATCACCAATGTTTACTCGAGAAGTCCTTGTCCCCCTTATTATTGTTTGTCACTGTTAACGTCTTCTTCAGTGGATTCTTCTCCGATTGACATTGATATACCATTGATTTACCAATTGCTCTTCAAAATGATAAACATCAATACACTTATCTTATTTTCTCTTGTGTTAACTAGGATCAATTATCTCGTACTTCTTGTTTGTTTATTGTTTATGTCTTGAGATTAGCTTAGCGAGGCCTATCCCATTTTGTGGGTGGGCAGCAGCGCTTGATTAAATGGATGCCTTAATTAGAAATAGAATGTGGGAAGTAGTTGAATTACTCTTTTGATAAGAAGGCTGTTGGCTGTACGTGAGACTTCGTAGTTAAGTTTCTTTCTGAAGGATTTGTAGCTTGACTTAAAGCTTGTTTGGTTGCTAACACAAATTTATGGGTTTGATTACTTGGACATTTTCTCTTTGCAAGCTAATTTGACTTCAGTTTGCCTCGTCCTGTCCTTGGTTGCAATGAATAATTGGCCTCTGCACCAACTTGATGTGAAGAATGCTTTTTTTTTTTCATGATAATCTCTTAGAAGTTGTATACTTGAACTAACCCCCTTGGTTTGTTGCTTAGGATTTTGGGAAAGTATGCCATTTTTTGAAGTCATTTTATTGTTTTGTCAAGCAGTAGAAGAGTTTGGAATGTAAAAGAGTAAAAATGATCACGCTGTATTCTACAAGCAATCTGTTTCTGGGATCATTCTGTTGGTGGTGTATGTTGTTGGTGGTGTATGTTGATGACATTATTATTACTGGAAGCAATGGACAATGAATCTTATCACTGAAAGCATTTCTTCAAAATTGATTCAACACTAAAGTCCGGGTTCCTTGAAGTATTTCTTAGGGATTAAGGTATTAAGGAGCAAGAATGATATTTTTTTTTCTCAACGGAGCCTATGTTGGATCTATTAGTAAAAATGGAAAAATTATGGGTTAAATCTTGCAGTTCTCCGATGCTTCCTGATCAACAAATTACTAAGAATGGAGAAGCCTTTAATGATCCCGAACGATATAAGAAGTTAGAAATATAAACTACCCCATAGTAACTCACCCTGACATTGTGTATTCAATTAACACTATAAGTTAGTTCTTGTCTTTTCTCACAGTCCGTCGTTGGTTAGCTTGGAACCTATACTATGTTACCTCAAAGGAGCTCATAAAGAAGAAATTCTATATTAGAATCATTGACATATAAATATTGAATGTTTCTTTGATGCGGTTTGGGCAAGTTCCAAGATTGATCGAAAATTCATTACTAGATGTTATGTTTTTGTTGGTGGTAATTTGGTTTCATGGAAGAATAATAAATAAAATGTAGTGTGCGATCCAGTGCAAAATCTGAAGTATCAAGCAATGACATAAGTTTTGAGTGAATTGATATGAGTCTGCCAATTCCTTACCGAAAAGGGCTTTAAGATGATAGCTCTAGAAAAAATGCGGTGTGATAACCAAGCTGCAATTTATATTGCTTAAAATCTTGTCTTCCATGAACAAACTACATATTGAGATAAATTGTTGTTTTGTTTGTGAGAAGATTCAACAAAATTTGATTTTTAAAGCTCATGTAAAGGCTAGGGAACAACTAGGGGTCTTCTTGACAAAGGACCTTGATGGATCTATGATTACTTATATTTGTAACAAGCTGGGTATGATAAATATCTATGCTTCAGCTTAAGGTGGAGTGTTATGGAATTAATTAAATCTAAAGATTGTATGGTAGGAAGCTTGATATTACTTAACTTATTTAGAGGATATCTAATTTTAGGATCTTTTTTATATTAGAAATATTCTTAATGTGTAGACATATGAGTATATATAAATATGTAACAAATGCTTTCAATTAAGGAATAAGAAAAATGGAGGATTTCCTGTAACAAGAATTTTTTCTTGTGTTCTTTAAATGTAGCCTTTTGTATGTCCTCACCAATTTGTTTGTGTTGAGTCCAAAATGGCTGACCCATTGTATTGTAGTTTGATTGGCTTTACATTGTTTTGGTTTGCCCAATCCTTGGAGAGCCCTGGTGCGGAGAATTTGGGATGATGACTTTATATATTGGGCATTAATTGTAGGCTAATTATACAGTTCTTTAAAACCAAACTGCTATGGCTGTTTATGGTTTTTTTTTATATATTGGCCTACATTATTTTCTTTAATGAAATGCTGGTTTCGATGCTGTAAGTATGGCTGACATTTTCCCACCTCAGGAATCAATGTGAAATCGCATGATATTCGCTTTGTTGAAGACAATTGGGAAAGTCCGGTAGATCCTTTTTGCAACATTAAATTTTGTAATAATTTTTAATGCTAGGAATTTGTATTTATTTGTGTTGATTTTTTCTGTTTCTCTGTTCAAACCTAATAATTTTTAATGCTAGGAATTTGTATTTATCTTTGGCTTTCTGTATTTGTGTTGATTTTTTCTGTTTCTCTGTTCAAACATTCAGGTTCTTGGTGCGTGGGGTTTAGGTTGGGAAATATGGATGGATGGGATGGAGATTACACAATTCACATACTTTCAGCAAGTAATGCTGTAACTCTTGGTAGCATTTCCCTATTTTTCTGAACACTAAGACTTTTATTCGATATCTTTTATGCTAGAGTACTGAAATAGATGGCTGGATTATGCTTCATATACTCTTTATTTAGCTTTTTTTAAATTTTAAAATAAAAGCAATTGAAATTTTTTTCATGGCCTTTTCATAAATTGTCATTTTGGGCTAAAACTAATTTTATATTGCTTAATGACCTGGGATTGATTAGCACATGTCCGGGATTTTTGTCATCTTGTAGTATACCTCAAGAATTTTAATATCTTTTAGGCTGGAAGTCTTCAAGTGAAGCCTGTTTCTGTGGAAATAACTTATGGCCTTGAACGCATCTTAATGTTGCTGCAAGTATGCTACAGTTTTCCATTCTCTCCATGTGACGTCTATATCACTCAGTTGAGCTATGATTGAGCCTTGCTTTGCAGGAGGTAGACCATTTCAAGAACATAAGATATACTGATGAAATTTCATACGGCGAGCTTTTTTTGGAAAATGAGTAGGTTACTAAGAGCTATTAGTGAGTTACCCATCTAATTCTTTATTCTCACTTTCTATTCATTGAGCATTTCCATACCAAACTATTTTATTTTTTCATGCTCCATCATTATGATTAATCTTCTTTTCCATGAATATCGGGAATAAAAGTAACAAAGCACTTTCAGCAATTCGTGAATAGTTATTTGGAACCGGATGTTTTTTATTCAGTAATTGTTGAAATGTGCATTGAAAATTTGTTCAGTGTGCGCAAGTGATAGCTTTTGGAAAATGTTGAGAGATTTTTTTTTAATGTTTTTTTTTTAAAGTACCCTATTAAAACTTATTGAAATGCATGGCTAGTTTGTTTGGAAGTAAAACTTTGGAATTGAATTCTGACACTTGTTTTGATAATGAGCAGAATCTGCTGATGAAATGCTGTTGAGATGACTTTAATCTTTAATGGTCAATGAATAATTCACATTTTAGTCTATTGAGATGATGCGAAATTTCATAGTAGACACTTGCAACTACTTAGAAGTCATGTTGCTTAATTCCTTTCACGTGTCTTTAATTGTTTGCAGGCATGTGCAATAACCTTTTTAGTCTGCGTTAGAACAAAATCGAGACTCTTCAAAGAAGCATTGCTGTATATTTGAAATCATTTAGCTACAGATAAAATTATCATTTATGGTGCAGATGCCATATATTTCTTATATTCTAAAAAGGTTTGATCATATTAGTCAATGCATTTAAATTGAACATTATTTGTTCTCAGTTTGGATAAATGCGGTGTAATATATAATAATTCTTGTAGAAATATTTTGTAATAACTAGTTAATCTAAGAAACTTATGTTTTCTTTAGACTCTTAGATCTTGGTCATTCTATTATTGCTCTCAAATTTTTTTGGTACATTGATATACCTTCACCACAAATGAAATGCCCCGAAGAAGTAACACTCCTTTACAAAAAATATATTTGGAAAACATAGAAAATAATTTATTCTCCCAAGGCCATGATTTTTTAGTATGATCATTATTTTTAGAATATACTAATATTTCATCAATAAATTATATATAAATTGATTAGGATAATGCTACAATATCCTATTCATCATATCTATAATTTTTCTAGAGCCTTTGTCAACCCAAAAAGCACGACACAAAATTCATAATTCTCATATTTGATGCCAATTGCTATATTCTCAACATCATTCTCTTTCACTGCGACCTAATATTGAGATTCTAAACTAATTCTTGAAAATATAGAACTTCTGTCTAGTTGATCAAATAAATCATCAATCTTTGATTGAAGATACTTATATTTAATAGTCAAACCTCTCCAGTTAATACATAACCTCATAAAACTATTTGTGTTAAAGGAGACAAAACTTGTGATGCCTTGTTTCATTTTCCCTAGGGAGTCGAAGGGTGTTAAAGGAGACAAAACTTACTGAAATAATTTTGTTCGGTTTTTCATTTTGGAGAGGAAGCGAAAAAGTGGGAATACTAAGGGTACTTTCATGTTATAAAATGACAAATGAAGGAAAAAAGAGAACTACAGAGAGAGCAGAGGAGCAATAGGTATCGAGCGATTCTCTTATTGAAGTGTTGAGGTCGTGCGAAGGAGAGGACATTGCAGTTTGGTGCGGGAGGTGTCGTCGAGGAAGTTAGGGCAATGACACTGTGCTCACCTGCAGAGAAAGAAAAGGAAGAAGTGGTACTGTTTGTGTTTTCTATCAAGGAGATGCGGCCACAAAATTGAGCGGATAGAGCTGAGCTTGAGTAAGAAAAAAATAGATAGAGGGGAAGGAAAGAATGAGTAAGAAAAAAATAGATAGAATTGCAGGGCCTTGAATTTACCTGTTTCTCATTATCAGCTTGCCATGTGACTTCTGAAGACTTCAGCTGTAACTTACTGAAATAATTTTGTTCGGTTTTTCATTTTTGCTTATCATTCCCTCCACCATAGTGATTTACTAAATTTTTTAAATAACAATCTTCATAGGTTTGTTTGCAGATCACTTGATCACTTTGAATGAACTGGTTGGTCTCATATTTTTTGTTGTAGGAAGGAAATGAGTGCATATTATTTGGAGCATGCGAATGTAGAAAATGTACTCAAGCAATTTGAAAGTTATGACGAAGATGCTCGATCTTTGTTGTCTATCGGGCTACCTATTCCTGCGTATGCTTACAAATGTTATTGATTTTTTTTAACGCTATTTGTGATCTGGAAAGAAAATGCTCTGATTAAAGTGATTCATTTTCTTATAATTTTGTAGGTATGATCAATTGTTGAAGGCCTCTCATGCTTTCAATATCCTGGATTCCAGAGGCTTTATCGGTGTTACCGAACGCGCTAGATATTTTTCTCGCATGCGCAGGTTAATTTCTATTCTTTCTTAATTTAGTTTCAATGAGCTAATGCTTGGTGCCATCGTCATTATTAACCATGTCACATCAATGTGGAAATGCCTTTATGAATTCCCTTCATCAATTCATTCTTGTCAATTGGCTTCAAAAACTAATGTTTAGTATCATTTTGAAATTATACATAGATTTGGTTTGCATTGTTGGTTGGATTGAGTGCACATTTGATGCCACATTCAATGTTCTTGTTGTGCTTAGTAATTTGAGGTTGTGAAACTATAAAGACATCCTATCCTTATAATCAATTGATTATCCGCTATCCTGTTTATTTCTCTTGGGCTTTCAAAGGAAATTGTGTAGCAAGGGAGCTCATGTTCTAGTAGAATGCAAGAGATTATGGCAAAAAAGGCTCTTCATTCATAGTAAAAAAAGCTCGTGGTTGAACTAATTAATTTTTTTTTAAGTGAAGGTTTTCCCAGGAATTATATACTATTATTTTACTGAATCGATTATTTGCTGTAGGAGTCTTTTGATAGTCTACAAATATTGGTGGGAGTAGTTTGAATCTAAGTTGTCTGTTATAATTTTGTATTTTTCTACAGTGCAGTTATGGGAATCATTGAGGTTGGGGTTGAAACAAGGTATTACTTAAGATAAACAATTACAGTTTTTCCCCATGTATATTTTAAATTTTATAAAGGGTTACGAGTCCTATGAATGGCCAGAGGTGCAAGCAATCCCCCTAAGGAAGCACATGTAGAGTGGTTATTTGCTAGTTAACTTGACAAAGATAATAAAGAGTGGCTAGAAAATACATTGAATCCTCTTATGGGGAGTACATGTTTGGAGGTAAGTCAACACAATGGATGTTTGGAGGTAAGTCAACACCATGGTTGGCTTCCCCATAATTGTTTTTAAGGTAAGATTGGTGGAAGTTCGGATGGCTGTACGATTTTTGAACTAGTATTGAAGGCTCTTAAGGGATTGCAAAACCATTGTCAGCCAAGCTCATGAGGAGTTAATCAAATTCCTCAAGAATATGATAATGGATTCAATTTGATTAAGCTTTAAGCCGTCAAGTAAACCTTCAAACTCAAGATTAGGACATATTCTCAAAAAAACTAGAGACAAATCTGCTGGTATTTAGTTTGAGAGAACCTAGAATCAACGAAGTCATGCTCAGTTTCTCCTTAGGGAAGCTGGATGAGGTGACTCAGTTTTATCTAATGAAGCAGTTATTTAATTCATTGAGTTCAAAATTGAATTGTACAGCTCTTCTCTTATTTTATTATTAAACCCGATCTCCTAATAGATGAAGCATGAAAGCAAAAGTTTGTTAATGATTTTCAAGTTTGTGGTGTTCCATTAATTAATATCAACAACAAAAGTGTTATGTAATGTTCTGGAGAGGAGTTGTGACAGCATTGGCTTTCCTTCCAAATATCCTAAGCATAGGGCTTGTTGAGGAGGTGGTGATTTAGGTAAGGATCAGACTGGCATGTGACCGCTTTTGATATTCTAAGCATTAAAGTCTGTTAATGATTCTTTCCTTTAAACAAACTTTCCAAAAAAGCGATGGCAATGGAGAAGACGCAACGAGGAGAAGAGGACGCCGGAGAAGATACAACGAGGAGAGGAAAGGATCAGAAGCGATAAATCGCTGTAACAGTTGCTAAGGTTCGCCATGAGGCGAAACCATAGCAGAGCTGAGCGTGGG